TGACTAGCAGCTGTTAACCCTTAACAGGGGGGCTCTCTCTGGAACTGTTGGCGTGTTAACATTTAAGAGAAATATTTTCCCCTTTGGTTGGAGCTTCTGCTAGCCAACAGCTGCTGTTGACTGTGGAGGGACATTTGAAGGCGTGCCCGCCCCTGTACTTTCTATCTGTCTGTCGACGGCCAGCAGCGTTTTACAGTGCCTGAGGGAGGCATAGGGCAGGTCTGGTCTCTACAGTAAAGCCTGCTTTGTATTTATAATAATTATTAATATAATTATAATAATATATATGTATGTATATATATATATAATAATATAATATAATAATAATTATATTAATAATGTGCCAGCAAAATCTAAGATAAAACGCAAGGCAAACGCTACCAGAAAGCTAAGTATCTACGAAATCTGCTAGAAATGAGTAAAGTAAAGCTACAGCAGACAGGAACACGGGGAAAACAATGGTACAAATAGAAAGCCTTGCTATATCTACTTCTATATATATATATATGTATGTATATATATATATTTTATTTGTTAGTTTGTTTGCCCCATCAAATTTTTGGGGAAATAACATTTAATAATGCACTTCAGTTTTGTGCGAACAGTGCCATTCGGGGCTCAACACGGGCTTTGCCACTCTCAGCTACCAGCTGCCAGCCCCCTGCCACTTCCACTTACCCCCCCACCCCTACGTCTGACGTCATGCCAAGCCTCTGGTTACCGGCTTCGTGCCGGCAATTTAATTAATCTGCACAAAATATGCAACACAGCAAAAGTTTTACCAGGCCAACAACAAACACGCACACACACACACACACGCACACACACACATATGAGAAGGAATTGCCACAGTTATAACGCTTGACATACAAAAAGAACGAATTACGGCAGTGCAAGTGGAAGATTTAAATACTCTATATAAAGCCCATAAGGTGACAGCTTTTCAGGGGATTTTTCCTAGAACAAATATATTTATACATATTATTATTATTTGTTTATTATTATTATTATTATTTATTTATTATTATTTATTTATTTTATTTATTATTTATTTATTATTATTATTATTTATTTATTATTATATCTAGTAAATATCGTCCCATTTGAAGGGACAACATTTATGCTTTTATGAGTCTCTAAAACAAGATTAAATAATTTACCCATTTCATTGCTGCCTGGCCAACATCTAAGGAAAATCAGTATACCCCTTATATAGAGTACAAAAAGAGTGGGAGACTGTGTGTGGCTGTTTTTGTGTGTGTGGTGGGCGCATAAGTTTGAGCGTGAATGTGCCCCTAAAAGCAGGCAATGGCAATGCCAAAAGGCACAGAGAGCATCTTCAGAGCATCAGCGGCAGCAGCGGCAGCAGCGGCAGCAGCAACAGCAGTGGCAATAAGATTACTTAATTGATTTAAATTTGCTTGTCTTACTAGACACTGGAGTGGGGGGGGGGCAGAAGAGTGAGAGCGAGAGCGAGAGAGACGTTGCAGGGGGCAATGATGTTGCACAGTGTCGCAAGCGATAATGAAGTTGTTGACAATGGGGAAGTGTAATGAAAACGACAAAGAGCATAACAAGTGCAAGCATTCGAAAAGAGGACAAAGAACAGTGCACAACACTGAGAGAAATAATAAAAAGATGAATGAAAAATAAAGCCAAAAGTAGAGCTAGTCAGAAATTGTTTGTTGCAGTCAGCACCTGCCCCTAAACAAAAGGGTATTCCCATTTCCACTTAGATTTCTCCCAGTGTACACAGTGTACAAGTTCCTGTCAACGCTGCTGATTATGATGAGAATGATTATGGCGGAGTAGGCAACGACAACGTGTCGCATGCATTATGTACATATATAACTTGTATAATTAATCAAATTACGCTTTAAGGGAATGCCCAATGCCAAGACTTTGGATTCAATTTGGCATAATGCGCTTCTGTATGCTTCTGTATGCTTCTGTGTGCTTCTGTATGTGTGTGTTTGTGTTTTGGCCTGTCCACTGCGTCAATTTTGCACCCTGCACCATGGAAATGTCCATAAGCCGCCGCATCGCATCCCAAAATGATGGCCGAGCAGACGACCCCAAAAGGCAACATTTTGTTTCGTGTGTGTTTGTCTGTATCTGTATCTGCGGTTGGCTGTTATTACGCTGCTCCATTCGCATTCTCTCCACCTCTGGCTGCCTGGCTGCCTGGCTGCCTGCCTGCCTCGTTAGCCTGACCATGCCCCCAAGAACAAGGGACAGGGACCCCCAGACACAGACACAGAAAGAGTCCGCTTAGTCATGGCTGCCAGAGGCTGGCTGCCATCGCTCCATCTACGCCAACACCCGACTCCTATAGTAGCTGCCACGCTGCCCCACTGCTGCCCCCACTGCTGCCCCCACTGCTGCCCCCGCTACTGCTGCTGCTGCTGCTGCTGTATGTGACTTGCATGCTGCGCTGAGCGCCAAAGTTTTGACTTCAATTTGCCCAGTTACAAATTTTTGTCTTCTCTCTTCCTCTGCACGGTTTTTTTTCTCCTTGTTTTTCGAAACGCAAAACAAAAAAATAGCAGCAAAAACTCCTCCCAGTCGAAGCCAAGAGCTGCAAAAATGTTGCGAAAGACTCTTGACCAGTTTTGGGGCGACGTGTTTTGGCCACATCATCGTCAGCATCATCATCTAGAGAGGAATAGCGACAGCGCTAGAGAGAGAGAGGGAGAGGGAGGAAGGGAGAAAGCCCCATGCTTAGGGGCCAATGGAGCATCGCAAAATCAGCCTCAATGAGGCAATTGCAGCGGATAAATGTGCCAGGAATATCGGATAAATATAGTACACAATAAGCTGAAAATAAAGCCACTCCAACGAGGTTTAAGTTTTATTTAAACCCACAAAAAAAAATATGCTTTAATTTCATTTAATTGGAATATTCACACATTCAAGAGAGGCCTTCTTTTTTTGCCGGGGTGTATTGCCAACTTCCCATAAATTCCTATTTATTTTCTCGCCCCCATGCTCTGCGCAAAGAACGCTCTTGAGCGACCCGTGAATATCTGGAAACACTTGTGGCCGCTGTCGAGCCAAAGCAAAAGAATGTGAAAATGTCTTTGGGCTTTTGCGGAAATTGGAAAAATGCTGGCGGCATTTTCCTTGGACAGGTCGTTGGGACGGGGGTCGGTGGCAAACAGCAGGAAAGTCAAGTAATGGAAGGGCGAAGAGCAAAGGGGAAAAAACTGTCAGCGACAGCATTAAAACTAACTGGAATCGGGAGCAGCATTCTCAGCATTCTGCACATTCCCCACCCCCCCGCATCGAGAGGGGGAAAGTCGAGGAGTCCCTGCCCCAGTCACAGTCTCGTGTGGCATGCCACATGCAATTCAATAAGAATTTCCCCACTTGCCAGGGGTGTGGGGTGCAAAAGTATTCCAAATGCATGCCAAACACTTGCTGCGGAATTCGCAATTGTGTCACACACATAGAAAGAGCGGAGCGGAGCGGAGTGGACCCGCTCCTGGCCATATAGCTATAACCTTTATGGCTGGCTACGTGATTCAAATGGCTACCAGAAATGGGATGGAAAACTCCTCAATTTCTCAATTCCCATTTGTCGCTTAACTGGCAGTTCTGCTCCTCATTATTACTTATACATATTAAAGGAATATCCAGTCAACAGCTTAAGTGGAATATAAAGGGTTTGTGATGCATTCTTTTGGGGGAAACCCAAGTGACCAGCAACTACCAGAAATATATAAAAATCCATTAATATCTTACCGCATGTCCGTTTCAAACTGAGCGCCTTTTTGGATGGCTGACAAAAGCTGAGAGGACCGAAACGATATTTCTCTTTGGAACCGGAACCCATGGATTTCCGCTCAGATATAATTCCCAATGAGAGAAACACCACTGGAACTAGTTCAGATGGAAGCCGTGAGCCAGCGCCTTCTTTTTTTTTGGAGTGAATAATGACAACTGCCAACAACAGTGATCGACTTGTCGCAAGTCCATCAGCAGATGGCAGATCCACGCAGCTGTTTAAACTTGAGAAAATGGTAATTTTTAGCAATCATCTGGGTATCATCCAATTCAGAGATATTCGATATTCCCGCGTTCAAATTTAAAGGAAAACTTGATTTTATAGTTACCCGTTGAGAATATAAAAAAGTCGTCTAATATATTTTGACCAGCCATATTTTTATTAGAAGGAATTCAGAAATAACGAGAAGGAACGTGTGAGTCGCTTCTGGGGACGCGACTCTACTTATACCGTACTCTTTTTTCAAAAAAGTTTTTTGAGTACGGGTATAAAAACACTTAAAGTGAATTCACACAGAAATATAAATGATATTTTACCAAGTAACGAAAGAGGCTGTCTTCGGAGGAGCTTCACAAATATATAGCTCAACGCTATCGCACTGTTTATCGTTTATGGCAGTGCCTCCTATCCCCTTATATATTAATATATCGCATCTCTCGTTACCACCGTTATCATTTGGCTCCCCGGGATACCAAACATCGTCCGACAGGTGCTCAGCATTTGAGAACCAGACATGCTTGCCCTTCACTGCCAAATCAGTTCCTGAAGTCTAATGAATAAATAATAAAATTGGGTACTTTCCAATGATTTAATTAATATTTTTAAATCTTATCATCAACCACTTTAGACAAGGCGGCCAGGAATAAAGTGAACTTTGAAATTCATAGAATCTATATCTTTTATAGCAGATTGTGATATATGTACATATGTAAAGACTCAAGTGACATTGGCAGAGACGATGAGAGGTGTGAGAGTGTTCAGTCATACACACCTAAAGAGAAATAAATATATTGCGTACTTCTCAATGATTTCGAATATATTCCTACCATCAAGTAAACATAAACAACCAATAACAAGCCAACGGAAGCGTTTCCGACCCTATAAAGTATATATGAACGATAAGCGTTAGAGGTTCACATTTTAAAGCAGCTTAATTGGTAACGTTGATAACGTTTCTTGGTATCTTGGTATAAAAGATATAGATTCTATGAATTTCAACTCAGTAGCTGCAAAATGTCTGCAAAGTTCACTTTATTCCTGGCCGCCTTGGGGCTGTTCTCGCTCTCCCTCACTGGAGCGTAGAATATAGCGTCTAGTGTTAGTGATGGTAAGAGTAAAAATATCTATATAATCATTATTGGAAAGTACCTAATATTATTGTTTTATTTATTAGGAGTGCCTGAATTCTTTCACCCAAATACTAACTTCGAGAAGATCGGTAATGGATACTATTATATTGAAACGAAGGAACTTAAAAACTGGTTTGATGCCTCTGAGTCGTGTCGCCGGATGGAAGCTGCTCTAATCTCATTCGAGACCAGGGAGGAGTGGGATTCGATCAATCAGTATCTGTTTCAACGGAATATCTATGATGAATACTATACCTCGGGCACTGACCTGGCCATCAAGGGTGAACATGTTTGGTTCTCAACGGGAGAACCCCTGGAACTGAACATTTGGGGTCGGGGGGAACCAAGTAATAATGGCGGAATCGAGCACTGCGACGTATTGGGATATTTGGGGACTAGCACAAATTACGATGTGCTGAACGATATACCGTGCGACTTGAAGAGATACTATATCTGCGAGGCACCTCAGCCCAAGACAGCCTCGTTTTTTATATGGTAAAATATAATATTGTGCCCCAAACTATCCGATTGAGTCCTGCCCAGTTGACCACTAAGACGAAGCCAGTCCAATTCTCGTTGGATAATTTTTATGAATTTTTGTTTTGTTTTGTTTACTTTTTATTAAAAATGTAAATTCTGAAAATGCGGAATACCATTGACCATCTGTATGGGTGTGTGTGTGTGTGTGTGTGTGTGTGATTGGGTGTGTTTTGGGATTATATTCTTTTCGTTTGGCTTTCGAATACTATTTCTGGGATAAACATTTCTTGCCTTTCCTTTTCTTTTCTTTTCTTTTCCATATCCATTCAATATCAATTTCCTTCGCTTCGCTTCGCTTAGTTTCACTTTCAGTTTAATTTTTACTTTCGCTTTTGGTTTTGTTTTTGGATTACAATTATTATTATAATGCTGCATTATGCATGTGTGTGTGTGTGTGGTGTGTGTGTGGGTTTTTCGATCACAAAATAAGAACAGAACCAAGCAGACTATTGAGGGGCCATATACATAGACAATTGATATACATATATATATCCACATATATATATAGGTATGTATGTATGTATATATCCTTATCGTGTACAACTAAATTCCAAGCATAAACCGCGTGACTGTCGCGAGGGTTTTTACTATTACCTCCTCCCTGCATTCTGCGTGAATTCCCACATTTAGTTGCCTAACATTCACATGTATTCGCTAGATCTCTGCGCTGTATTGTTCATATTATATAGGGTTGTATATATATATTATATATTTTCTAGACCATACATATATGTATGTATCGTATCCAATATTGCGCCAAGCAAGCAATTCGTTTTGTTCACATCTAAAAGTTTCTTCACACACGATGGAAAAGCATTTTCGTAATACAATTTTTGAATGTTTTTGTTTTTTTTTTTGTTTTTTTTTTGGGTTGTTTTTGTTTTATTTTTAAGATTGTTTTTTTTTTTTTATCTTGGGTATTTGTTTTTTTTTTTTTAGTTTGGCCACTACGCCTCTCAGATGATGTTCAAAGCGATTGGCGGTCGTAACTAGCAAATGTTTTTGTGGCTGATGTTGAGCTGTGTCCAACCATGGGGATGAGGCGTCGTCTCCGGATCTGCTGCCGCGATTACTGCTCCTCGTCGCCCAGCTCGTGCTTGATCTTGGAAAAGTCGAATGTCTCGCCAGTGCCGCGCTTGAATATGTTCAACACATCCAGGCAAGTGGTCTCAAAGTGCGTGGTAGCATCGTACGATTCCGAGATGAAGATCTGCGACTGGGCCCCATCATCGATGGGCTCCAAGTAGTCCGAAATGGTGACAAACTTTTGTGCGATCGGCTCGAGCAAGTCGAGGCCGGGCTTGATCTCCACCTCGGGATTCTCGGTCTCCACGGTGGTCGAAACCATGCCCACGAACCAACCCTTGGCGGCCACCTGATGGGTGGAGCTGACCAGCGACACGTAAATGTCGGACTTGCGGCCGACCTGCTTCTGTGGAATGATGATTTGAGTGGAGAGGCCATCCTTGGTGCTGGCCACCGGATGGTCCAGGATGCAAATGCAACGTATAACCTTGCCACGCTTGCGCACCTGCCGCCGAAGAAAACGGGGGGTATAGATTAGAATCAGCATTCGATCGAACTATAGGCAGTATATCGGCGGCACTCACCTTCTCGGGCACGTAGCTGGGATCGCAGTAGACCTGCTTGCACTTGGCCACCTCCTCGCCGGAGCGCACGCCCACCACCTTGCCGCCCTCGCCAAGGACAATCTCATCGATGGGCTTGTCCAGCATGTAGGTGCCGCCATAGATGGCCGACAGGCGGGCAAAGCCCTGAGGCAGCTCACCGAGACCGTACATGGGATACAGATAGGGCGATTTGCCGTATCTCGCCAGCGAGTCCGAGTACAGCTTGATGCGCCGTATGGTGTTCACCGCCGGCTCATTCAGATACTCATCGTCGCGGAACAGGGCCAGGGCATGACCGGTGAAGTCCTGCGTGTTCTTGTCCAGACCAAACTTGTCGTACAGTCCCTGCATGTTGGCCTTGGTTGGGTCAAAGTCCTTCCAGGTCTTTGGGTCCTCCTCCCTGAAGTCCTGCACATAGATGAGGAAGTTGCGGAAGCGACGCTTCTCGAACATACCTAGAAGGGAAGAAGGGAAACGGATACAGAAATTTGATTAGTCAGCGTTCACTTGCAACAGGATCGCACAAGTATGCACGGGCCAGGACAAGCCCTTGGGGGGTTTAGGTTTCAATTTACATTCCCATTTGCATGCCCACATACACACACACACACACACACGCACACCCATACAAACACACTCATCATGCATGGTTCTTTTACAGGGCACTGTCCATAATTTGAAACCTCTAATTTAGGGGGCGGCAGCAGCAACAGCAGCAGCAGCAGCAGCAGCAGGAGAAACCACAACCAACAGTCGCCATGGGCCACCCCATGACGTCAGACCCCGCATACATACATATGTGTAAAGCTAGTACAGTGAAGCCAAGCTACCAAGGATGCGATGTGAGTAATTTTGTTTATAATTTCCTCATAATTTTCCACTCTAAAGTGGAACTTTTCAAATGCTATTCCATTCCGCCAATATCCACTGTAAAGTTGAACCCTTTCACCGCGCCGAAAAAAAAACAAAAAAAAAACGCTATTGCTAAAATAAAAATTACAACTAAATCATAAATAGAGCGTGCGGAGCAGGCCGACTAATTGCATTTCGGTTGCTGCCCCAAGAAAAAAAAAATAAATTAAAGCACTTAACAGGAGGCAAGTGTGGAGGGAGGGAGGGGAGCAATAAAGAGAGAGAGAGCGAGAGAGAGAGACACGATTAGAAGTGAATCAGCATAGCGGTTAAATTGGCCAAATTCGAGGGGCCGCACAGGGTTGCCAGACACCCACACACACACACACACACACACACACACACACATGCAAAGGTGTCTAATCAGCAAACGAGCTAAATAAAAGGCAAATAAACAAATGCCAAGCTTACGAATATGTTGGAAATTATCTTTGAAACAAAGACGAAAACGTATGTTCTTTACACACACACACAAACATTGGTAGGTAGGGAGCTTTTATTGGTAGCAGGGCCAAGCAAATACGTGTCACAGTCAAACCAGAGGGGGGGCAGACAGGCAGGCAGGGCAACACGGCCCCAGCACAGCGAGTGAGTGTGAAAGCCAGAGCAAGAGATAGAGAGGGAGACAAAGAAACAGGCAAAAGTGGAGCCCAGATAACAGTCGAGTACATACACACACGCACACGCACACACACAGACAGACAGCTGTGTAAAAGCTGGAAACGTACAATTTTTTCTTCTTTTTTTTGCACACAATACATGCAAACACATTTTGTGCAAAACGTAGGAAAAGTCGCAAGATCTTACCCATGAGATCGGATGCCAGCGCCTCCTTCTGATCCACCGGCACTTTGGCAATTTTTCCACCCTTGTAGACGTAGCTGCCCTCAATGGACTTGAACTCCAGATAACGGGTGACGCCCGTGTGTATGAGCAACTTGACCAGCTGCCCGTTGGCCATCAGGAACTTGGGGATCAGATCCACATTCCAGTCGCGGCCACGCCCGAACCGTTCGCCGGGCGGCTCCAATCCGTAGCGCTGGAAGAGCTCCTCCAGCGGTGTAATCGAGGCAGACTCGCCCCCGTAGTACTTGTTCCGATCAATATGCAGCACCTTTTTGCCGGACACGGACAGCATGCCGCTCAGAATGCACTCCTTGAGGCCGGTGCCCAGGACAATGGCGTCGTATTCCTCATTCATTTTCGCTTTGCTTTGCGTTTATTTCTATGGGGACGTTGGACTTTCACGGCTTTTTTCACTTGCGACGTTGGAGGTTTTTTTTGCGTTTTCTGCCCCGTTCAATAAATTTTTTTCTACTCGCTCGTTCTCTTGAGAGTGGAGAGAGCGGCCATTCGCTGGTTGCAGGACAGGGCTGCATTTTGATGGCGATATTTCACTGGGCGATAGTTTACTTGGCGATATTTTCTGCCTGTTTAAACAGAGTTTGGTATATTTACGGTATATTTTGAAATTTATATATTCATATATTGAATCCACTTGGAATTCACTTCACAGCCTCCATTTGCCAGGGTACGGCTCCCGACGCGTTCAGATACGTCGTGAATCCATCCCGGATGGAGATGGCTACGTTCTCGCTGCCATCAAACTGTATGGGAGGCTGGGCCAGCTCCATGAAAATGGTATTCGTGCGCCACTCGCCCGGAATCAGGGACACGTAGTCAGTGTCCTCCTTCTCCAGTCCCCTGAGATACTCCTGCGGCTCCTCGCGGACCAGCAAGTTGTGCAGAATACACGTGGCCATCACTAGCTTCTCCACAATGGACGCCTGCAGCTTGATTTCGGTTTGCAAGGCTCGGAAGCGACTGGACATGATGCCCCGAGCATTGACAACCACGCGATGGGCACGTTTCAGGCGGTAGTTGAAGATCTTCTGCTCAATGGTCGAGGGAATCTCGTGCTGCTTCATCAGCCAGGGCTGCAGCGCGAATCTCTTGTCGGCCAGAACCACGTGAGGCAGCTCCTCATCCATGCCTGGCAGCCGCTTCTCATGCGGTATATTCAGCAGGTTGCTCTCCAAGCCATTGTACAGTGAACTCTCGGTGAAGGCGTCCGCCGCTCCGCCTGGACTGCTCGCATCGACGTACAGGAATCTGTGCTGTGCGTCGACCAGCGCCAGCATAATGACACTTTGGAACTGCCTGTAATTGGTGTAGCTGGCATCTGTGGTGGCCGTCTTCGAGCGGAAAGCAATGTGATGACCATCTGAAACAAAGGAAAACAACCTGTTGAGCTGGAATCATCCTTGGGGGAGTGGATAACAACATTACCGAGCGATCCCAGGCAGTGGGGAAAGTGCCAGAGCCGCTCAAATTCCTTGGCTATGTCCAGCCACTCCTCCTCCGTTTGTGGCGCCTGCAGGTAAGTTTTCTTTAGCTCCTTTTCTATGGCCTTGATGACTTCTTCCACAATATATCGCATGGACGCCTTGGGCACCTGGTAGATGCCGGCCAGGGCGCTGAAAGAGTCGCCCGTGGTGAGGTATCTCAGCGCCATTTGGAGGCGCGTCTCGGCCGGCAGGAGTGTGGGGTTTTTCCGCTCCATTCGGCTCCGCAATTGCTTGAGCAGCGTGCCAAATGCCGACAGGGACATGCCGTGCAAGCCGCGGAAAGAATCCTCATCGCTGTACGTGCATGCCTTTGATATGGTCCTAATGGGCGTCGCTCCCTTGCGGCGGTGTCGCTTCTTCTTCCATTGCAGGTTGCCAGCTTGGTCTCGATCGGTCTCCAGACCGGCAGCAATTTGTCCCATTTTAAGGATGTCGTGAATTAATTTGATCTCCCAAGACATTTTGCAACCAGACTTAAATTCTCAAAAACAAACAAACAAACATGGTATTAGAATATTAGGTAGGGTCTAGGTGGGACCTAATGTGACACTCGAAGCAATTATGTTCCCAACAACAAATTTAACATTAGTTAAAGAAAATAACCCAGAAAACCAAACGCTCGCATGCGAGCAGATACTTAAGAGTGTCCTCAACTGTCAATTTTGCGATACGAAAAGGACACTTCATTTTTGGCTCGCTTGCGAACTCGTTTTTGTTTGCTTGCTTATTTTGTAAACAGTCCAATAAACAGGACTTTTGAAAACTAACCAATCTTGTACCAAATTTATTGAGCAATTGGATAAAATTATTTCTTTAGGTCTGGGAGAGCTGACTAGCTAGTAATATTAAACGGAATATCAAAATCGAGGAATATCAACGAAACTTATCATGTCCGTCAGTATATATACGGTATATTTTGATAATGACAGGGTATATTTCGGTATATTTCTGAGGGTCAGGCGGTATATTCTATCGTCAAGTCCGCGGTCACATTCTCAATCAGTCAATTCTTCAATACCGCGTGAATGGCTCATTTTTGCGTCGGAAGTGAGCTTCAATTGGATTTCTATAATTCCCATACCGTTTGTCCGCAATCGGGAAAATTGCAAGTTCCCAACCAGCAAAAAGAGACCATATATTTTTTGAGTTTGGCCAAAGGTTTCATTTTAAAATTTCGGAATTCAAATATTTAATCATCGGTCACACTAACCCCCCTCCCACCCACAATAGCAACAATAAATGCGGAAAAAATTAAAATTTAAATTCGGCAAATACATCTGTGCAGGTGCGTTAATATTAAGGCTCCACGGGCCCGCCAAACGGGAGGCCACCAACGAAAACAACAAAAGTTAAACTTGGCGGTTGGCGCTATAACAATTCATAAAAGTAGTTCCGTTCGTATTCCTTAAAAAAATCCTCTCTAAGTTCAATTCAATGTTTTTTCTTTAAGATTTCGCGGTAACCACGGACGCGGTTTTATGTTGAAAAATTCCTTTGGTTGTTACGCTTTTCGTCGTCTTTTGTTGTTTCTTTGTTTCGTGCGGATTTTCGCGTGAAAGCCAAAACATAACATCTGCAATATCTGCAATCCAATAATAAGGGAAAAATTCCCCCGTTGCAATGTAATATTTGAATGTTTTCATTTATGATTACCCCCCTAACAACAACTGTTTTGTGTTTTGTGTGTGTGTGTGTTTGTGTTTGTGTGAAGAAGAAGAAGTGAAAATGCTATTGAGGCCATAATATTAGTATTGAAATTCTTAGCGACGGGCCACTAAAAATTCGTGGCAAAAGTTACAAACAAAAAATAATTCGGATTCCCGCAAACAAATGAACGACGAAAAAAGTGAGCGGCTGATTGTTGTTGCTGTTTCAGTCTAGCGTGTGGTTTTCTTTTGTTATTGTACTTCCTGTCTTGGTCTTGCGCTTGGTTATTCTTGTGTTGTTTCTTGATTTCCCTGCTGCTGATGTGTAGGTGTGTATGTGTGCGTGTGTGTGCGTGTGTTTGTGCGTGGTGCAGCAACTAAAAACAGTAAATAAAACATATTTCCCCCCTCCTACACGTCAAAGGAATCGTAAAAATCCAGTTACGAAATTGCATCAATATTCCATCTCCCTTGCTCCTGCTGCCTAAGTTTCCAAGAGCGAGATGCAGCATATGGTGCTGCTGCTGCAGCTTCTGTTGTTGCTATGGTCGCAGCATCCTCTCAAATTTCCTCTCTTTCTCTCTCTCCAAAAATAGCAGAATAAATATTTAAATACACCACAAAAAGGCGCGCAACAAGATATTTATTTGGAAATACAACTAAAACAACAACAACAACTACAACAACAACAACAACAACAAAAAACACCCAAGTGGATCGCAGAAAAAGTCAATCTTTTTGTTTGGATTAAGGTAAGTTTTTGCCCGTTACCATATAAAATAGCGTATAAAATTAGCAAATAAAAACCACAGACGGCAAACAATCTACAGAAAAAACAAGTTAGTTGCTAAGAACCAGTTGAGCGTTGCAGACCAGGCCAGAGTCTCCGTGTCCCCCCGCCGCCGCCACCCCCTAACGACTGGTTTTCTACCTGCCTTCGTCTGGCTAGGCGCTCTCCTCTCCCTCTGGCGTGTCGGATCGTGCTCCTCCTTTCCTCTCGCTCTCGCTTGCACCGGCATTTAATAAAAGCAATTGCCAGTCGAAATCCTCTCTTCTGCTGCTGCTGCATTGCATTTGATACTTTTGTTACAGTGGGCTGTAATTTGGGAAAGCTGCAATAATTTCCGGGACAGCTGTTAAGCATGTAACTTACCTGAGTTGCGTATTAGAGCAGATTGCCAGACCTTTGACGCACGTACATCTTACGGCATTCTATGGCTCTAATTCAACATGGCCCTCGTAACATTTGAACCCTTTTTCCAAAAGTGTGCGTGTTTATGGCCATGCCAACCACTGTGCGTGCGTCTCTTTTCTCTCTCTCTCTCGCTTCATCTCAATTGAGTTCAAAGCTAGTTGCTTTGCTAATTGTAGTTGCAGAGTGAGAGGGAGATGGACAGCTGCTCAAGAAACTCTTAACTGTTACTTTGCTTGCAGTCCCTCTCTCTCTCACTCTCTCACTCTCTAATGCTCACTAACATTGCTCCAGGTACCGTTACGGCAGACAATTGACTCTCCGATTCGCAATGCAATGCAAACAGAAGCTGCCTGCCTGCCTGCCTGCTTGACTTATCTGCTGTATTTTGTTTTTACGGTTTAACGGCCAGGCCACTAATATGTATACAGCTTTGAATTTGTTTAATTTTTATGACTGAAATTTATCTACCGCCCGCTCCACTATATGGGTGGGTATCTATCACCCCCAAATGGCGGGCTACCCCACAGACATCTTGGCTGAAACACAAACAAACACGGGAAAGTAAGTTAATAAATCTTTCATCTGGATTTTCCCACTTGCAAGAGAAGTGCCTACGTTAACGGTTGTTCCTACAGCGTGTCACTTGATAAGCAAATTCTGTGTGTGTGGAATGCCCCTTGTATCTGTATCTGGGCGTACGTGGCCAGGCGGCACTCACGCGTGGCTCTATTGTGTCTTATCAGCCACAGCTGTGGCGGAATATGCACTACTCGTATGTGGTGTATTCATTGTTGTGTTATGCTACCACATATACCAAGTATATATTATATGGTACCTACGTAGTACTGCAATCAATTGCGGATATTCTGTATAGGATTTTTGGCTACCCCACCATCGGGAGGCCTAACTTAATTGTTTCCACATTGCGTTTTCATGGTTCTATGGCGATTTGTGTGCCCCTACGATAGATGGTAAAATAATTTGGCTTCGCATGGATAGAGTCCATAAAGCAGTCATTTTTTTTTTTTTATCATTTTGATTGGCGTTGGGTTATCGCTCAATATGGAGGTGTCCATCCACCCTGCTCACTACCCACGCTATCTATCAAATTGATATGAGTTGCTCTTTGGCATTCCATTTGGTTGTTCAACAAAGTTTTTGGTACACTGGCATCGGGTATCTGGTTTTTGTTTCTATTGGATTGTATACTGGATTCCCCTCCCACTAAATATGAAAACGTGCTCCGAAAGTTCGCCGTATGCAGAAGTGTCCCACAAAACCTCCTCCCAACGCACTTTAATCTTTAGAATACATTTTTGAGCGTATTTCGTACGTTTCTGGTGACTGATAAACCAAACAAAAAAACTCAACATTTTAAGTTAAAGTTAAAGCTCTAATCATAGTTAAAATGAAATATTTAAAGAGCAAACAAACACGCGCGCTTGTTGTATCGCGCCAGCAATTGTTTTGCCATTAACTTTAATGACATTTGTGTGGCAGAGGCAAGAAGTCTATTGTTTTTATTACTCCGGCTACTTGGCAGTTCCAATGCTAGTGGCAGTGCTCGTGAATTAACAGCCCATCGATCCCTAGGTACTGTGGCAAATTAAGATGGAATGCGAATAATTGAATACATTAATATGGTAATTTCTGCTGCTGGGTCAAAGCTTCAATCAATCGACACAGAGAGATAGAGATGGTGGCGTGAGTGGTTCGTGATTTAATCGTGATTTTACGCTTAAAGGAGTGAAGGAACACCTTCTACAGGGGGGAACGAACTCTCACACTTTCTTCTTTTTTTTTTTTTTTGATTTTCTGAGCTCTTGTCACGTGCCCGCCCGCCCATCTCTTGTGCTCTTTGTCGACTCTGGTGACGCTTCTCGATTTAATTGAATAGATAGCCAGCCCACAGAAGCGTCTGAAGGCAGTGTCGTCGGGAGTGTCGACGCCCCCGTCAACAGTCAACAGTTTCTAATTAGTTGTGAAACTTTTGTTGCCTTCTTGCCGTGCCTCGCCTGCCTGCCTGCCTGCCTGCCTGCCTGCCTCCTTCTGCTGCTTGTGGCCAGTTTTCTGCCTGGAAACTTATCTTGTTGCCGCGAATATTCATTTATTCCCATGGAAGTCGGAAGTTTTCCCATGTCAAAATGCCAAAGCATCGTAAATTTCCAACTTCCATTGTTCAGCTTCAAATTCAGTTTGCCTTTGCCTTAATTAACCAACGGAGCAGCTAACCAAGGGAATTAGCATACGGATTGACTGAGAATATGTACTCGTAACTCGTATATATAGAGAGTTTTGTATGCAATTTGTCACGAAGTGATTTAAATTGGGTTACGTTGCAGCCCAACCAGAGCGGCGTGGAGTGGAGCTCCTCTATATATAATTATACCCGTACTCAAAAAAGAGTTAAGGGGTATATTAGATTTGTGGTAAAAGTGGATGTGTGTAACGCAGAGAAGGAAAATTTTCCGACCCCATAAAGTATATATATTCTGATCAGCATCAATAGCCGAGTCGATATAGCCATGTCTGTCTGTCCGTCCGTCCGTCCGTCCGTCCGTCCGTCCGTCCGTCTTGTGAGCGCCTGGATCTCAGAGCTACAAGAGTTAGGGTAACCAAATTTGGTTTCCAGACTCATGTGATATCACCTGCTACAAGTGTATTCAATTTCGCCCCGCCTCCTCCCCCCCACAAAGGACGAAATCTGTGGCAGGCACAATTTTAAAGTACGATAAAACTAAAACGCAGTATCGTAGAGATGCCCATATCTACCAATTGCCGATCTGAATCAGTCGGATAATAATTATAGCCAGAATAAAGAAATTAATTTTCTCCCCCCCCCCCTCCGCAAACGAAACACAACTCATTTCCTTCTCGCTCGCACACTCGCCGCGTTCAGTGCGCGAGCAACCCCTAGCGGAGGAGTGTAGAATTAATTGGAACATGTACAATTTACATGTTAGATGTAGAATATACATTGTATATGTAATGTAGATATCATATGTAGCAAAAAAATGTAAAATGTAAATTTTTTTTTCTAAAATTCTTAAAAATCATAAGCTCAAAATGTATATACTGACTGAGTACGGGTATAAGTAGAGTCGCGTCCCCAGAAGCGACTCAAACGTTCCTTCTCGTTTTCTGTTGATATCGTGTGGTAATTACTCATCGCTTCAGACTGCAATATCAATTATGGAATTATATGCGTTGAACTTCCTCTGATAAGTGCACTTAAACGTTCAGTTCAATTTAATATGGAAAACAAAGGGAAATGAAACTCTGGCTAAAAACGTAATTCGAATGATCCCGCAAATTTAGGCAAATTTTTGTTTATCGGTTAGTGCTCCCTCCAATGGATATATGGATGGAATTGCTCATTAAATAAATATCTATTTTGAAATATCTGCCAATTGAAAGAACAATTGTAAACATTTTTCGGTGCGAAATCGCCTTTGAACAGACGGGAACAAAGCAACGAAAATTAAATATTTATTTAAGGAACCTGTTTTTCTGCATTTTAGTTCAATTCCAAATCCTAAATAATATTTATGCAGATGTACAATCGTTGAAGAAGAGTCGTAGGTTGATTGTAAATCTTTAAAAATAAAATTAATTTGATGCTGGTTCAAGCCTCTTTTGTTAGCTGATTGGAAATTTGCTGCAAAAACTGGTTTAAAATGCACTCCAGAGGCATGTACAAATGTCTCAAGTATTATTGCAACAACAAAAATAAATACTCTAGTGTATTATAATAATTGCTGAACACATTGCTGGTGCTTAAATATAATTATAAAATGTTTATACATATGTATGTATATAATATTTATAATTGGCCTGACCATAAATGCGTTTTCAATGCAAGGTCGCGGCCATTCGATTGGAGCCATTTGATTGTTCAATCGAATGAAAAATATGGCCAAACTGATTTTTAAATATTTATGTGTAAGGCTGAGTTCAGCGAGAGCGAACGCGAGACTTGGGTGAGTTTTTTCCACCACATCAAATTGGTTTTCCAATTAGTTTTCTCAACCGTTCAATAACAAACGACACAACACGAGCATCGGACTGGTGGGGGAACATATAATGTATCTCTGAGTTACATCTAGATTGGCAAGCGCAATAAACTTTATTTTTATATTTATTAAAGTCTGTGGCCAGCGCTCTCCTTCTGGCCCGATAATCATTGCCGGTTTTGGGGCTTGGCCCAACGCTGGAAATGTTTATCTTTTTTTTTTCTCGGATTACGAGTATTTCGCATGTGCGTGGCTAAAAATAATTTCAATTTTGCTGCTGCTGCCTGCTGCCTGCTCCGACTCCGAGTCCGATTATCGACAACACCGCACCACAATGAGGGCAAGTCAGAAAAGCACAAGCCACAGATACACAGATACCGATGCACGGTTACATCTGGCAAGAAGCAAGGAAGGTAGCGAAGTTCTAGATACACTCACAGGTCCAAAAAAGTCCACAAAAAAGAGTCGAACGAAAGTGGAAGTCAATATACCCCCCGGTTAGGAAGGGTATTCGGATATGTGAAGTGCTTTTTCCACTAATTAGACGAAACAAAAGTGAACTTATCGGGGCAGGGCACCGCCGCCTTCTTTGGGGTCGTTTAACCATTGGGCCTGGCCAAAATAAATAAATCAAGTTTTGGCCACTTGAAAGTTGTTTGTTCCTCCGAAGCTCGTAAAACAAAACAAAAAAAGGCAGAAAGAAAGGAAAATTAAAAGTGCCAGACAGGCGTAGTACAAGTTTTTGCTTGGAAGTAGAGAGAGAGAGAGAGAGAGAGACGGCTTTAATGGTTCTTAGCCATGTCGATGGCGAGACGAGAGTCAAAGAACCAATGAAATGACTAACTGGCCAGCAAATGTTCATGTTGCATTCGTTTAATAGAAAGTTTATGTACTCGTGCGATTTATTTGTCTGCTTGATTTATGATTGGGTCGGCCAAATGGTTTACCCATTTAGATCTGAAATAAAAACAAAGCAGAAAACGAAACAAACCAAAAAAAAAAACTTGAAGAAACAAAATTAAGGCACAATTCGGTCGTGTGCCAAATTCATTTTTAGCTTTCATATGAAGATTTTTTGTTCAACGCATACATAGAATATATAGAAACAACAAAATGAACATGCACAATACATACATATATATGTATTCTATATATACTGGCTATATATGTTTGTATATGGGCAATACGGAATTGCTTACCAAATTAGTTCATCATTCAATGAAAAACTTAAATAAATACTAATTGGTACACGCAAAAAAAAAAAAAGGAAACGTCAAATTTCATTTGTTTTCATTTAATTAACAGCGTAGAAAAGGAATGGGAAATGTTCATCACTTAAATTCAATAAAAATTGATGGGACACCAAAAATAAAATAAATACAAATTCGGTTGACACGTTTTGGGGGCTCCGAAAATACTCAAAAAATACTCCGAAAACACTCCGATTAATTGAGGCATCTTAAGGCACCAAAGCGGAGCTCCTTTTTGGCATTAAAGAAAACCCTTTAGCCCAAAGATTGTTGAACTTTTACAGCAGTTCCGTTACAGGGCGTTCATTGATCTGCTTCTCAAGCCGCAGCCCTGCAACCCTCCTCCCCTTCCTACATAATTGTTGTAATTGTTTCATGTAGAAAAAAACATTTGAATGCTGTGGAAACTTTTCAAGAATGAGTGAATGAATGGCGGCCCACTGTTTCTCCCAAGAGTTGAATGTTCTCTAGAATTATGAATGCTTGAATGGTTTGCCATGAACCCAGATATGGTTTTTGCGAATATATTAGTGGGCCATATGTGTGGATATATTTTGGGCTGGGGAATAGGAAGTACACTTCCTATTCTGTCTGTCTGACAGCTCGAAACTCAAAGTTCAAGCTGTGTGGGGCAGCCTTGAACTTTTTGGCAATGCGCGACAATGGGTCTGAAAAACCACACAAACGGAAAGTGGAGGAGCAGCACCCACCCCCACCCACATACGCGTTACGCATGACCTTGGGGCCAACGCGTGCTCCACGTCGCCTCTCTTTTTCGTGATGTTTTCTTCCCCCCCCACCCACACCCATTCGCTTCGCTTGCTTATCGGAAGCTCCGAATCAAGGGCGAGCTTTAAGTTTCTCGTTTTCAGTTTTTCGTTTTTAGTGTTTCATTTTTTGTATTTTTTTCTGTATGTATTTCGCTTATCCATTTTTTATGTCTTACTTTCGGTGGTTGAGTGCCTCTCCTGGGGTTCGATAAACTCCCCAACAGCGGCGGCAATTAGCCCCACGATTTGTTGTATTTTTATTGCCTCAAATGTAATTGTTGGCTTTCCATCCTCCATCTTTCAGATCGGATCTCCCTCGCCAGCCGTCATGGCAGTCGTGCAACAGATGAGGCATCAGTGCTCGTGCCAGCGATGAGGCACAGCCCCATGCTGGAGTCCAGGTGCTGCTAGGAGCTAGGAGTGCCCCTGGAAGCCATCGAAGCCATCAAGCCAACATCCAGCACACACACACACACACACACATATCCCACAGTCCGCAGAAGGTAACCTGATGGTTGTGGCCTGCGAAGATGCCTTCAGCGAACACCGAAGACTTGCGGCGAAAGTTTCTAGTTGTCCAGCAGCAGCGCTCGGCCCCGCCCAATCTCGCCGGCGACGGCCTCACGCCCGGCACCACCCACGGCAACACACTGATGATGACAGCCACCGCTGCAGCGGGCGGGGGTGCTGTGGGTGCTGCTGGCGAGCCGGAGCGCACCTATGTATTTCCCGGCGGGAACCCGCTGATAGGTAGCGTACCCGGCATGCCGGTGGCCAATCCGGCGGGACCGTCGCGCGGCCATGCGCGTTCCGTTAGCCACGGCGGCGGCGCCATTGTGGGCGCCAATGGGCGGCCCATCAAGTCCGCGATGAAGGGCCACCAGCGAGCGTTCTCGCAGGGCCAGATCACGGACTCGCCGCCAGGCAGTGCCGCGCCCTCGGGCCGGGGCCACAGTCGCGTTGGCTCCAAGACAGACTTCATCCTGCCGCCGGGACACAAGGAGGAGGCCGTGCGAGAGCCCTCCGCGCCCACCTCGGCGACGGGGGGACGCGGCCACTCGCGGCAGGCGTCGCGCTCCGAGTCCATCTACACGCTGCGACGCACGGAGGCGCCACCGTGGTGGAAGCGGCTGACGCTCTGCAACTACAGCACCGGGGACAAGTTCGAGGAGCGCAGCTACCGGATGGTGGTGCCCAATCACACCGTGCCGCCCAAGACGCCCAAGCGGGAGCATCCCAACGGCCAGTTTGTGGGCAACAAGATCCGCACCACCAAGTACACCCTGCTGTCGTTCATTCCGAAGAATCTGCTTGAGCAGTTCCACCGCGTGGCCAACCTGTACTTCATCTTCATCGTCCTGCTCAACTGGGTGCCGGCCATCAATGCCTTTGGCAAGGAGGTGGCCATGATTCCAGTGCTCTTTGTGCTGGGCGTGACGGCGGTCAAGGATCTCTTTGAGGATCGACGCAGGCGAGCATCGGACAAGCGGATAAACAACACCACATGTCGCGTGTACGATGGGTGAGTGATTCTATTCTATCGATTAATCAATTATAAAATATTACTGACTGGCAGACTCTTTCGCCAATGGATAGACAGGAAGAGCAATCTGCTCCTTCTGCTCCCATAATTTGTCCAATTTCCCGTTCGGCCAAACTAAACTTTTTCCCAACTGTTGTCCGAAATGTGAGCCAAAGCCAGAGGCAGTGCCAAAAGCCAACAAAGAACAAACAACTTGACTTCTGTTGACCAATTTCCACATTTCGAGCCCTCCGGCCAGACAGAGATTTTAACGAGAAGACAGTTGGCTGGGGGTTCTGTCTGCTGTCTGTTGTCTGCTGTCTGCCTGCTCCAAATGTGCTGAATAGGCTGTCTGGGGGCTTTGGACTGATTACCCATTTCGACCACTGGTTGCTCCTCATGCTAATTTTTGGCCGTCTGCGTCCGATTCCGATTCCAATTCCAATTCGTGTTTCTGTGTATTTTAAAACGTGATCTAGAAATCGATAAACAGCCCAAAAGCAAACAGCAAACAGCAAATAGAAATACTAACAAGAAGGGGAAGCGCTGATTTTGTGGCTTGAATTTTTGGATACTCTTGTGGGAAGCATTGTAGCTAGGGGAATCCTCTGATTTGGATTAAATATGGGTGGCTTTATCTTCTATAAATAAAGCCTAATTAATAGCCATATAAAATATATTTTTGATGGGCGTTTTAAGCCCTTCCTCTGCTGTCTTATACTCCTATGCAGAATCATCATACCCCAGCCCCTTCGAGGGTATATGTTAAATAGCAACAATTCTGTGTGTAAAACTTTCCCTAACTGTCTTTGCCTCTGCCTCTTTTTGTTTTGTTTCTTCTTCTCTGCTCTTTTCTCTTGTGGTGGGGTTGTGCCACATTTGAGCGTCGTTGACGCATACTTTTGACACTCTTTTGGCCTCCCCCCGCCCGCAACAAGCCCCGCTTTGGAGCCATCAAGCGGGGCAACGATGCCGTTTGTCAGACTTTCCCAAGCCAAGTGACAATTTACTTGCATTGCACGTGTACTTACCCTGTCCCTGCCTCTGTACCCCTGTACCCCTGCACCATGCTTCACATTTCCAGCCACTCTTACCTTACCGCGTGGTGGGATCTGTGCCTCCTGCTCCGTCATCCAATTGTTTTCCCGTTTTGTAGTACGAGCCGCTAACCAGCCAGCTAAAGCAACACGCAAAACAAGGTACATGCCAATGGGAAGGTGAGGCACAGCCCCTGTTGATGGTGCGTACGTAGTTGCATTTGCCTAACCTTCTGCTTAATGTGCCTTCAAAAATAAACCGTTTAAGTTTTCTGCTCTCTCTCTATCTCGTGCCCTCTCTGCACTGCTTGCCTTCTCTCTCGCTGTTGTCTCGTGTGTGCCGCCTGACCAATGAACTTACGAGTACTTCGCAGTCGTCGTCGTCGTCGTCGTAGTCGTCGTACTCGTGCATACATTGTTGTTGCTAATTATATTTGCATTTCCCTATTCTCTTTTACGCTCTTTTGCACAATTGTCATAAAACCAAACCAAACCATAGCTGAGTGATTTTGTTGTTGTTGCTGTGCAGATTTTTGTCGCTTCTGTCATTGTTGTTGTTGTTGTCAAGCAGTCCATGAAGCGCGGGTCTTGCACAGTGGACAAAATCGAATGGGAAATGGTACTAATTGATAAAGAAAATGTGAGGATTGCCAAGAATTAGTATTAGTGTGGGGTGAAAGGTGTGAAGACTCTCCCCTTGTAGTACTGCATCTGTGCCACTGTCTGTCCTTCCACCCCAGACAGCCCTCCTTCAGCCCCCGTTCAGCGCAAAAGCCACAAGTTGCATGCAAATAAATGCAAATTACACGCATACCAAATATGGCAGTCGAATGAACGGGCAGAGAGGAGCCTATGGCTATCCACAGCTGACTCACAAATCACACAACTTCTGGCCAGCGATCAGAGTGGAGTGGAGTGGAGCGGAGTACATAGGCCCCTCCACTGTGGAGCAAAAGTTTCCAGTTTAACGGCCCTGACCATCCAACTCACGCCTCTCCTCTGCTCTCCTCTGCTCTCCTCGCCTCCTCTCCCCACTCCACTCGACGATTTGTGTCCACGAATCGAAAATCATGAATTTTTATGGCCGTGTGGTGCAATGCTCGAGAAAAATGAATCACGAGTGCGAATTACTTTCGGGTTTCCATTTGTGCTATTCCATCTCTAAATATTGTGTCTACGAATGATATTTACTTGGCTGAAGATTATTGGATCAAGGTTACAGCTTAAATATTTCATTATTTGGCAACAATTTCTACCCAAAAAAAAAATGGAAAAAGAAAACAAACTCATAAAGAGTTTCTCTCTCTCGCTTTAAAGTTTTGTGTTAATTGCATTTAAATCGGTATATATTTGGGGAGGGGATGATGTGCTAAACGATTGATTGAACCCCCAAATTGATTGATGTGTTAATAGTCTGCGAATTTAATTAGTTGCCAAAATATAACTGTGCGCACAAATCAAAATCAGAGAAGAATTAGTCATACAGGAAGCTGTGCGCCCAAGGGAGACATTTCTTCGCCAAATAAAAAAAGTTTAAACTGCAAGAAAAAAGGGTTAAACCCGTCATCATTCACTGATGATTCAAAAGTGATGCAAATGCAATAACGGAATGGTATGACGCATAACCAACATTATTGGATAAATAGAGCACACTTTTTGTTATCTAGCTCAAACATTGATAGGTAATTGCGAAACATCATCTGAATAAATCTATTAGTGAAACTCCCCCCCTTAAGTCAGCTTTGGCTGACATTTACAATCACTGGGTCAAGCTTCACCCTTTTCTTGTGCCTCTCAATTGCATCGAATCAAGTCAATTCCCACTGATTGCCGCTGTGGCCACTCCGTACACTTATTGATATGCCCTGCAAAAGGCGTGACTCGCCCTGGCTGGAAAGTGCAGTAAATTCATTGGAAATATTATTATCACTGCCCCAGCCCACACTCTGAAGAAAGTCTGCCCACCCCTTTTTGTGGTTCCGAGGGTCTTATCACACGGGCGACGAGGTCACAGCCCCACTGGCGCTCTGGCGCTCTGTGTTGTGGGGCAATTCCATGAAAAGAATTGCATTTATTGCGCGATCACCCCACCAGCTTATGCAAGGTCTTATGTAAGCCACACGTACGAGCACAAGCACGAGCACGAGCATCTGCTGACGGATCCAAGAATCGTGCCAGCAACTTATGGAAACTGTGAATGCATTTGCCACTCTTTTTGAGTGCATTTTCTTTTATTCTTTTTTATACAATTTGCAGAACTTTCTCCCTTCGAATGGCATTTCCATGACTTAATCTTTTTTTTTGCCTTTGAACTTGACTTTCTCCTGCGGCAGAAACTTTGCTATTCATTGCACAAGGCTGCAAGGATATCTATTGTATGATTAATGGGCTCTCCCAGCTGCTCCCCTTCCCCCCCCCATCGCGGAAATTTCGTATTCAATTTCCGACACCGCCCCAAGCATTTTCCTTAGCCATTATTTGTGTGCTTTGAACTGGTGGGAAATGCTACGCGCCTTGGCCACCCATCTTACCATTTTATTTGGAATAAATTTCAGCAGTTAGAGGAAGGCATGAAGGTGGGGTGGGGAGGGGCGCACGTTTATTCAACATTCCCATGCGAATGCGTGGGCGTGGGCGTAGGCGAAGGCGTGTGGGTATTTCTCCCCAGATGTTGTGGCTCTCAGGCGGTGTCAAGTGTGCACTTTCACCGAAACTGCATGAATATATTCGCAGTTATTGCGCCAACATCTGAGACAAAGCTCAGGTGCTGGTGGCACTGCAGCACTCGGTTGGGGGGTGGTGGGGCGGAGCAGCACTCTGCCGCTGCTGCTGTCATTCTTTTGCATAAAATATGGCCCCCACCACCCGCTCAAGGTTGTGGGAAGAACAACTCGTGGGGCACGTTGGCAGAAAGAGAGAGAACTAACCTTGAAAAGCAACCACAAAAAAAAAAAAACTGAATGTCCGAATGTGTCTGCTGTGTATCTGCCAGATAGTTGATGATGACAGACCATAAATACCGATAGTTATGCTCTACTGCGGGCGTATCTACTCCACCGCCGATCGCCTCTCCTACGCTTTTGTGGGTTAATGTGGATGATGGTTTATTGTTTATTGTTGTGCGGCTTACAGCTGCTTAATGGGGCGGCTGTACAAGTATATCTGTCTGTTCGTTTTTGCCTCTCCAAACTCTGACATTGAAAATGCTAAAATACACGCAGCAAGCAAACATCAGAGCAAACAAAACGGGTTTTCCATTCCCTCTAGCCAATAACCGGTTGGCAATCATCGTTTGGCTTCAGTCGATGTCTCAGTCTCAGTCTCAGTCCCAGTCTCTATCTCAGTCTCTGTCTCAGTCTGCGCCTCTGTCTGAGAGACTGACGTTTGTCTAGCAAGAATCGCCACTTGGGGCCTAAACCTGATCTGCAGCCATCCCATCCCATCCCCTCCATCCATTGCCAGCCATCTAATGGCCATGTTAACAAACCCAGAGACCATTAACACCATGCTACCATGGCTGCATGGCTGCATGGCTCCATGGCTTCCATATTCCATGCTGCAATTGCTGCTGCTGCTGCGGCCAAGTTGGTCAAGTTTTTTCGATTTGTTTCTCTCTGCTCATATCTCGTGTACTCGTCTTGTATCCATGGCCTGGTCGTATCTATGGCTTGGTCTTGCAGTGTCACTGACTCGCGTTTTCAGTTGGGGTTCAAGCAAAGCCAGAGCTCAGGCCAGAGCTCAGTGCTGCTGCCAGGGACAATCGAATGAGCAGAGTGAATATTGTAATTACATATGTGAAAATATGAACTCAAATGTATGTCTAGTATTTGTAGGCTGTTGTCTGTTGGGTTCAAGGAAGGAGATGTATAAAATTTACATTAAATTAAATATTATATATTAAATACACATTAAATATTAAAAGTACAACAAGTCTTGGATATAATATGTATTTATTAGTACCCA